TGATCCCCCAGCACCACGATGTCAAATAATTAAAATCCTAGTTAAATTTTTGGCCAAGTATTATCTTGATAACTTGTTCACTGAGAATGTGATACAAAATAGGTCATTTAAAAAGATATTTATTATATTCCAATATGTGCCTTGAAAACCCCACTTTAAATTCTTGGAAGGATAGGGGGATTTTTGTTTTGTTTTGTTTGTTTTTTAGAAATAATGAGCATATTTAACTGTAATATAAAAGGGATACTAAAAATGAACAGTCATGTTTCTTTAATCCTATGCCTCAGTGAGAGGTCATGGATACTCTGAAGACTGAGTTCATATAGTATATAACAAAATTACCTTTTTATTGCGAAATTGGATGGAAATTAATACTTGGACAATTTTCTGGTTTAAAGTATGTACCCAAACTTTGGAATGTTAGATGTAAGGAATTCTATTTATATATAATATCAAATTTGGGAACATTAAAACATTCAGGTAGATGGTGCACACCCCTATAATCTTTCCCACCTGGGAAGCTGAGGTAGGAGAATTGCAGATTTGATGCCAGAATTACCAATACCCTGTCTCCAAATAAAATTTAAAAGGGCTGGGAATTAAGCTAAGTGTCCCCTGGGTTCAGTCTCCATTGGAGGGCAGGGAGGGAGAGCAGAGAGAAGAAGGGGAAAACTAGTGAGGATATTGACTTATTGATGAAAATAATTATTAATTTATATAATGCCATTTACTTTATGATATGTGTATTTGAAGAAAATTTTTGGCATTTCATATGGGAGGTTAAAAATGGAATTCTCAGTTTTGTAATTACTTTTTAATTTTACATTCAAAAATATCCAAAATCTACCCTTGTAAAATTATTATTAAAGTCTTTCACTATTTAACCATAGAGGTTCTTACTCATAATCAATTGTATATAGTATCCCAAGTTCCAATATAAATTGTTCAGTAGTATATAAATACATACACTTAAAAACTAGCTATATCATCCAAAATATTTCTATTTTTTTTTGATCAACTCTGCTAATAGATTAAAATAAAATTTTGGTCTTATTAAAATGATTTTTCCATATGCCAGTTTTTTCTAAGTTTATAATATATAAAGACCATGGATTTTTTTTAAAAGGTTATTTTTATATGCCTGGAGACTAAGGAAGTACAGAGTTTTTTTCTTAGTAATCAGCAGTTGAAAGGAAACATATGTATGTTGAGAGTGTATATTAAAATTGGCTTTAAGAAAAGATAGACTGGGCTAGGGAGATAGCTCAGCAGTCTAAGTGCCTGCCTGGCAAACACAAGGACCTGAG